AATGACAAACTAGTGAGAGAAAAAATAAAGGAAAAGGAGAAGTCCAATGGCTGTAAATTGCTATTGAGCAATCTAGCGGTCAATAAATAGTGAGGGAGAAAGCGATACGACAGAAAGTGAGTTTTTAAAAACGGAGAATGAGCGAATTTAGGAAAGAAGAGAAAGAAATCTATTGAAGTGCATGATGCACTACGTGATTCAAGAAGAGAGAAAAATAGAAGGGAATAAAGAATATGTGGTTTGACGGGAGTATTTGAAATGAAAGCAAACAATATGCATTTGGATATACACATTCATAGGTCTCTAACACTATTTAAGAAGTTAGGACAACAAAATCCTACGTTTCCAATCACCTCATTTCACCGAATCCATATCCACACACAACATAAAAGTTTGGAAATAAAAGGAAGTCAGAAAGAAAAGACACAAGAATAAGCCAATACTGAGCAGCCATAGAAATTACCTGTCCACAACTACTAAACAAGGCAGCTAATCGCTCTTCAGTGACCTAAATAGAGATTGTGCAAAAGAGTTTCATCAGCACAACTTCTCTGGATTGTCCAGTAAATAGCAATTCATAAATCGAAAGATACTATTATTCAACTTCCTTACATGCTGGTCAATGTCAGAAACATATACAGTGCGCCTAATGCTTTCTTCTCTCTGAGCCCGGAAAGATCTTCCATTCATCCGTCTCCTCCCTTGGTTAAAGTTATTCCTCCTCTGGAATAGATTGTATGATAATAAATAAAACTAAAAGAACGAAATAGATACAGAAATAAAAATGATGCAAACCTCTTCAGTGACCCCTAATTTAGTCATAATACAACACCACGAATCATTCTTTTACCTTTAAAGATCCAAAGAGGATTAGTACTCAATTAATTCAAATACTGATTCCATTGCTTCTTGATACTATGTACACACAATTCTATTTCAACAACTCCAAAATGTAATCTATAATTTGATAAAGACCAGCTCATGCACAAATGATCAAGTTGAAAATTCACATATAAGCCCACAAAGTCTGCATGAACATTTACAGTGCAATTAAAGGGGGCAGGGGCTGCACTTGTGCAAGACATAAAGCTACTATGGCAACTCGTTTTTACAAGACACGCCCACCAAGACAAAAAAAGCCGATGATTCCTAACAATATTCACAGAATAAACAGCAATTTAAACCCCCACAATTATGCTAAGAGTAATACAGACTCATGAACACAAAGCAAAATAGCAGAAAATCATCCAAAAAAATTTCTGAAAGGAATCCCACAATTTTAAATAAATACAAGAACACAAAAACCCGAATTATATGACGAATTTACCCATTTTATACAAAAATTACCGAAATCAAATAACTAAACAATAATTTAAATGCAGAAACAACGACAGTAGTATATCATACAAGATCAAAATATAGATAAAAGACAAATACCCTCCGATTATTAGGAAAATTATCATTGCTCGAAACCTTCGAAAAATTGTTCTGAACAGACTGATCATTCTTGAGACGAAAAGAAGAAGGGATAAATTCCTTAGCCCAAGGATTCAACTTTGATAAAATATCAGCAAGCTCGCTAATATTCTTCTGGAATTCGGATTTTGAATCAGAACTCTTATTAGTGTCAGTCTCAGAGTTCTGGGTAGGTGAGTTACAATTTTTAGTGAACTGATCATCAGAATTCACAACATTTTGAGCAACAGCAGCCATTAAAATTGCAAAATAAAAAATTCCCGAAAAAATTAGATGAAATTGTGAAAAGGGTATTAAAGAAATTACAAATTGAACAAGTAAATTACCAAAAAAAAAACAAAAAAAAAAAAAAAAAAAAAAAAAATTGTTAGAAATAGAGGAGGTTAGATTCCTTTTTTCCTCTTTTATTCTTAAAGAAAAATATAAGGTGTTAGATTACACCGAAAAAGAGACAGAGACCCATTTTCAGAAGAAGAAGATGATGATGATCAGAAAAAAAGGAATTTAATTAAGAGAGAAAAAGGAGGGGAGAGTGAAGAAAAGATTCTAGGGTTTTTGAAGAAAAATAATAAAAATGGAAATTAATATTTTTTTTTTTAACAAAAAAGGGTTTTATTGTTTTAATTGAATTCCAAGGATACAAGCTATAAGACACACGCTACGCGCGTATATTTATTAATTTACTCATAATATTGTTATTGTGGATTTTTTTCGAAAATCAATACTTACATAAACTTTAAATTTAAGAATGATTTTTTTTTTTGTCAGAAAACATCTACTCCACTTCGTGTACCTCAATTAACCTTAAAAAATATTGTTGATCGTTGAGTTTTTATATAAAAGATTGAAAACTGTAGAGTAAACATCTACGTAATAGTACGTATATAGATTAGATTGATGTATAATTTTTCCTTTTATTTTTTCTAATAAATTTTAAGGTTTTTTTTTCTTTGTAACGTAGATTTATTTGTGGGAACTATATTGGTATTAATTTATTTTTTTAAAATAAAATCATGATATAGTTATCTTTTAACAAAGTTTAACGTGATTTTTTTCAATTAAAAAAAAAGTAAATGTGGTTTGTAGTTAGTTACATTCTTTTTTATTTATGAAAAGTAGATATTTTTTGTTGGGAAATTCTCAACTGTAACCCTCAATTTATGATACGAACCAATGGTAACCCCAATTTTTTTGGATTATACTAAATAACACTATTAATCTTTTCTCTCCTAATGATGACATCAATGATGGTTTTTTAGCATATATTTAAACCATGGTTAAGGAAAACTGGAAATGACAAAATTGCCCCCTTTTTATTTCACCCAACCAACCAACCGAATTTAATTCCCTCCATTTATCTCTCTCTCCTTCTTTCTCCCTCTTCATCACTCTTCGTGTTCTGTCTTCTCAAAGTTTTCCCGTCAAACTGTTCATTGAGACGCAAAACACAGAGAGCATTGAATTTTACCCCAATATTTCCATCAAAAGGAGACGGTGATCGTCATTTTTCTTCTGGGTTGAAGTGAGGTGTTATTCAAAAAAGTTGATTTCAAAAGTTGCGACTAGGGTATTTAAGTTTTGGCTAAGAGTCGAGGGTACCTGGTGAAAGATAGGATCTTTCTGCACCATCTTGATAAAAACAAGTTCAGGTATGCACCAAAACCCTAATTTATATATAAATTTTGAGTTTTGCATGTTATGCACTCTGTTTTGTCATGATCTTATGTCTGCTTGTTTGATGGGGTTGTTTTGTTGCTTTGATTATTGATTATGTATTATGAACTTTTTTTGTTTGTGTTTGTGCTTGGAATATGTTATGGTGGTAGAATGAGTGTTGCGGTGGTATTGAAGTTTCAGTATAAGGGTATAGATGTTGATGTTGTAGTTGATGATATTGACAAAGTCAATCTAGTTGACCTAGTCATAGAGTATTGGGATAAGGCTGTTGAGAGTAAGAAACCTATTCCAAAACATGCTTCTTTTGCTTATATTCACAAAATGAAACATGTGTACTTGAATAATGATAGGGACTTGATGCAAATGTTTACTAACTTAAGTGGAAAAGACCTTATATATATATGGGTGGGTGAGGCTAATTCACCAAACGAATTACTGAAGGCTGCTAGGACTTTGAGGGCAAGTAAGGTAGCTGCTGAGTTGAAGAATAGTGTGGGACAATTGGGTTAGACAGAATGTGATCCTGAAAAGGGAATCCCAAGGAGAAGTCTAAGGAACCTAGAGAGTAGTTCCTGAGATTGATAAAGTAGAACTTAAGAAGTTAACCCCTAGGAGAAACACTTCATCCTATGTGGCAGAACCTGATGTGGTAGTTCCAGACCCTATTCTTGATCTTGTGACTGAGGGACAGACTGAAGAAGATGAGGATGATGATGGGAAACTTGTTGATCAGCCTATAGTTGAAACATATAATGCAAATTGTAGTGATGATACCTGGGCTGATATGATAAGGGATTTGGAAGCAGAACAGGAATACTTGAGTAGGGGGAGAGGTATAGGGGGAGAGGTAGGGGTAGGGGTAGAGGTAGGGGTATATCTAAGGAGGAAGAAGAACCCGTGAGACTGGTGGGAGGTAGGATATGGCACAGTGGACCTCCAAAAGACTTGAAGAAATGGTATAAGAAGCATTTAGAGGATGCAGTAGAGACTGAGGCTGAGAGGTTGGCTAGGGAGAGGTATGAGAAGAGGGAAGAAGAAATAAGGAAAGAGTTTAATTTGCCACCTATTGAACAAGCCAAACCAGTGCAGGTACTAAAAAGAAGTCCAAGAAAAAGGTTCCAAAGTGAGGCCCAGACAACAGTTAGGACAGATGTGATTGTAGCAACTGTGGTAGAAATTAATGTCATCACAGGGCAAGCTTCAGTACCTTCTGGGGATAGAGTGACATCTTCCAAATCATCCAAGACCTCTATTACAATTGGTAAAAGGATTCCTAGTACTACAGCTAGGAGGAGGGGATTGATTATCAGAACAAGTTCAGATGAAGCAACTGAGCCATCAAACACACTTGCTGTTAGCTTGGGTGAAGATGATTTTACTGAGAGTTTGATGAATGTGGACAGGGATGAAGTGGATGAAGGGGATGTAGTGGATGATGGTGAGTTTGATTCTGAGGAAGTTGAAGTCCAAGATGATGAAGAAGATGGTGAAGACCAAGAAGATGACTTTGAACCAGTTGAGGATCAATTTGATCCTTGGGAGGGTCCTGTCTGGGAGAATGAAAAAGATGTTGAAGACTACTTTGCCACATTGTACAGAAATGGGGAGTTGTACAATGATGAGGATTTTGGCAAAATTGTCATCAAACCATGGCAATTATTTACAGATAAACAACATCTGAGAGATGTTGTCAGAGATTACTGTATTCAAAGTGGGTTCTGTGTTGTGGTTCTTAAAGAATCTAGTATGAATACACTGTTAAGTGTTCCTCTAACAATTGTGAATGGAGGTTGCATGCATCTAGGCTTCCTGATGGTGTGACATGGGCAATCAAGTCCATTCAAAACATGGAACACACATGTTCTGGTATAGAGGTGAAGAATCCTATGGTGTCTACCAAGTGCGCTGCAAGGGTGCTGCTTAAAGATATCAGAGCCAACAATGATATCCCTGGCAAGGCATTGAACCAACTACTTTGGCAGAGATATGGAGTACAGGTGGCTGCAAGTTCTCTATACAGAATGAGGTCTAAGGCTTTAAGGGAGATAAATGAGGGTCATGATATATCCTATGACCAACTTCCTAATTACTGTGAAATGATCAGAATTACTAACCCAGGTTCCTCTGCCTTCTATGCTTGGACACCTCATGACCACATTTATAGGCCTCTGCAGTTCCTAAACATATTCATATCATTCAAGGGTTGTATATATGGATTGTTAGCTGGATGTAGAAGCTTCATTGGGGTGGATGGGGCTCACTTAAAGGGGAATTATGGTGGTGTCCTGTTATCTGCAGTTGCATTGGATGAAAACAATGAGCTATTCCCCTTTGCTTGGGCAATAGTATCAGTTGAGGACACAGAGAATTGGAAGTTCTTTGTGTGGCATTTGAAAAACTTACTAAATGACATTGGGAGAGGTGATGAGTGGTGCATTATCTCTGATAGAGAGAAGGTATGATACATGTGCTAACCATTTTTCTTTCTTCAATTAACTAACTTTTGAATTTTTTTAACTAACATTTGTCTATCTTTGCATAGGGGATTGAAGTTGCATTGATTGAGTTGTGGCCAAAGGCTGACAGAAGATATTGCTGTAAGCACCTATGCAAGAATTGGAAGAAGCCATTCCTAGGTCCTTTGATGTTTAGTCTGTTCTGGTTGGCTGCTGGTGCTTATTCTGCTTTCACCTTTAAGAAGGCCATGGACCAACTGCAAAAGGTGAATCCAGCAGCCTTGATATGGTTGTCTAAAGTTGGAGATCAATCAACATGGACCATTCACAAATTCAATGAGGCTATCAAGTGTGATGTAAACAAAAGCAACTTTGTGGAAAGCTTTAATTCCACATTGGGTATGGACAGAGCAAGACCTGTTCTAACATTGCTAGAAGGTAACATTATCTATACTACACATGTGTTGTGACTACTTTATTCTGAGTTATCACTGAATTTTGTGGTTGTTATTGTTAGGAATTAGAAGAACAATAATGGTCAGGATGTGCACTAGGAAGCAAGCTTCTGAGAATTGGGTAGATGATGATATTTGCCCAAGAATAAAGACCGGACTTAAAGTGATCACTCAAGAGTCCAGGGCCTGCAAGGCATACCCTAGTGCTGATGGGTATGAAGTCACTGATGGCAAATCTGTTCTATTTGTAAGTTTTGCAGAAAGAAGGTGCCTTTGTGGGAGATGGCAGATTTCTGGAATCCCTTGTAGGCATGCCATTAGAGCAATCTTGCATGCAAGGCTTGATCCAAAAGACTTTGGGCATGAATAATACTCAGTGAGAAGGTACAAAGCTGCATATGCTGGTGGAATCAAGTCCATTCCTGACAGTGATCAATGGCCAGACTTTGTCATGCCTAAAATTCAACCTCCTACCATAAAGAGAGGAGTAGGCAGGCCTTGTAGAGAGAGAAGAAGGGATGAAGAAGAAGAGAGGAAGGGCAAGAGAAGGAAAACCCTTAAATGCATCAACTGTGGAAGCTATGGCCACAACTTATTAACATGCAAAGGAGGCCCCACAGCAAAGCAAGCTGCTGCTGTTGCTGCCTCTAAAAGGGGTAAGGGGAAGCAGGCTGGTGTTACTTCTGGTTCTGCATAGGGTCAAGACAAAGCACCTGCTGGTGCTCCAGCTTCTACAAAGAGCAAAGGGAAAGGACAATCTGCAAAAGACAAAGGTAAGCAAGCCATGTCTTACTCACAGCCTGCACCAAAAATGAGGAAGCAAGGTGGAATTAGGTTCTACACCCAGCCTGGCATGGACAGCTGATTTATGTGGTTAATTAGCATAAGTATATAGCTCTGTCACCTGTTTTTTTTGGGTAGTTTTATCAGCTATTTGTGGACAGTTTGGGGAGAAACAGGACAAGTTAGTAAAATAGCAATAGAAGCTGATTTTTTTGGGTACTTGTGTTAGTTTTTTTTGGATATTTGGAGGGAACAAGACATCTTTTGATAGTACTTGTATGACACTAATTATCTGCTTAGATTGTGAACAATTGATTAAGTGTTAATCACCAACTATGCTTCTTTTGATAGTACTACCATGGCAATTATTGTGCACATATTGTTTCCCGCCATAACAAATCATAGTTCAATGATAAAGTAGAATAACAGAGCAAAAAACCAAAAGAAATTGGGAGAATTTAGATGTAAACAAAGTTCTGATTTTTATTGAATAAGGATGATTAGTACATCATTTAACTACCTACATTGTTAAGAAATAACTACAACCATCTCAATTTCCCCTAAATGAAACCCTAATTAAAGCTAATTTACCCCAAATAACCAATCTAGGGTTTACAAATCAATCATTTAATTAAAGTAAAGAAAATCCAAATTAAAATCGTCCTAATTGCAATCTTCATCATCTTCTTGCCAAAGCCATCACCACGATCTTCATCAGTGACCCCATCAACCATCCTCACAATATTTTCCCCAGGAACCCACGCAAAAAGTGATACCTGCTGCATTTGTAGTATGGCCTGTTAGGATTAGAGCGAGTGTCAGAAAAACGCACATCTAAGAGGTTGTTTGGCATCATTGCTGTTTTTGGTTTATTTGTTTTTTACCCCCAAAATAAAACAAAACACTGTTTGGTAAAATAACTTAAAAAAACAACTTTACATATTTTTTGCTAAAACAAAAACGGTAAACCTAAAACACCTCAAAGCAGTTTTTGAGGTTTTTTTTTTTAAAAGCCCTATCAAAGCTACGTTCATATCATCAATTGTATCTCCTCAAATTCAATATCTCATCTTTCTTGCCTAAACCCTAATCATTCTGAAGATTCAAGGAGCAATTACAGGTATGGAGTTCTCCTTTATCTTTTCTTTTAATTTCAATTGTAATCACAATGTTTTTCCCTATTGTTCTTTCTACTTTGTTATTTTATGGATGTTTTTGTTGTTAAATTTGATTGTATTCAATTTCTTTGATCAAAATTGGTCATCTTTGTTCTTTATTTTTCTGAATTTTACTTGTTTTTTTGTCTAATTTGTATATAATTTATTTTGGGTTTTTTTTTTATTCTGAAATAATACTATGTAAATTGACTAATTATATCAAGTTGTAATTTCTTGAATTCGTGGGTAGAATTTCAGCTCTTCAACTGCTTTCGGTTATTCTATACGAGTGTTAATTGTTTGATTGTATAGTTCAGTTATTCAGGTCTTTTTGGTACTTTTGATAAGCAAATTATATAATGGTTTTGTCAGCCAACTCAAAGCTAATGATTTTTTCTTTTTAATGGAATTCAAGCTCTGTTTTGGTGACATAAAATGGTAAAATCAAGGCATTATTGCGATTTAGAAAGTGGTTGAATAATTTGCATGCCTGTGATATTGGACATGATGACCATTACCCTAAAAGTACCAACATCTAATGCTAAAGATTTCCTTTGGCAAAATAAAACTTTAAAATTTGCTGAAGTAGCTGGTATTGTTATAAATAAGTTGGGACACTTTTATCAGTATTAATCTTGGAGATCTAAAAATCTTGGAGTATTATATCTTGTTAGATAATTGAGTTTGCTTTTATTTTCTATAATTTATCAAAAACTTTGTATACTACTGATCATATCATATCATATAATAAAGTCATAGCTTTATCTTGTTGCTAGTATGATGATATTGGTGAAGTTTGTATATGCTATTGTTTTTCTAGTTGCTGCACATTGGTTGTTTAGTTGACTTAGATGATTATTATGTCTAATAGTGAATTACTTTATTTATAGATGTCAAATTTGAAAAATGATGAGTGCGAAGATGAAGTTGTTGAGATTGAATCTACTGGAGTAGTTGGAGTATGGAATGAAAATATTGAATCTTACCTTATAAGCTTGATAGAGGAGGAGGTAAAAAAAGGAAATAGACCAACAACCACTCTAACCAAACAAGCTTGGAGGTTTATCAAGCAAAAACTAAAGGAGAAGACAAAAAAGGATTATAGTCAAGAACAACTTAAGAACAAATATAATCAACTAAGACAGGAGATGGAAGGAATTTAATAAATTAGTACAAGAAACTGGAATGGGATACAATCCTATGACCTATCAACTTTCTGCCGAGGATGCTGTATGGAAAAAGTTGTATGAGGTAATTGTCAAGTTTATTTTGATTCTTTTTTTTTAATGGATCAAGTAGGGTATTTTTAAACTAATAAACTTTTATTTTTTGTGATATTTGATGTGAATGTATGGTTGTTACAGAAACATAAGTCTGCCAAAACTTTTAGAAAGAAGGGATGTAAGCATTATGATAAATTATGCACAATTTATGGGGATACAACCGCTACCGGTGCTAGTTCACATCCTTCTACTAAAAGTCCTTCTGAGAGTGAGGATGAAGATGACACAGATAGAGAAGGGGGTGACTCAAGAAAACAATGTGAAGAGGGTCCTAAAAACAAAAAAAAGCAAGCCTAATGTCAATCATAAGAAACTTAGGGATAGTGTTAATGTAGCAATGGCAGATGCCTTGGTAACAATGAGTGAAAATTCCAAGAAAAAGCTTGAACTCATTGAGAGAAAATTTAATGGCATTGATGAAGGTGGGCATAAGTCCAAGGAGGATCATGATTTGCTCATGGAATGTGTAGATGCACTAAGTGCTCTTGAGGGAATTGATGGAGCTTCATTTGCAAAGGCAACTAAACTAATACATGATGATCCATTATGGAGGAAAATGTTTCTTAGATTTCCAAATGATAAGAAGATAGATTTTGTGCTCAACCTTTAAGCATTATCTCGTTAGTATAATTTTCCCTTCAATAATGCATGTTTGAGTGTTTAAACACAATTTAGATCTTGTCGTAAGTATGATTTTTTTTTGTTTGGATTTTGTATTTGGATTTGATTTAATATGAATAATAAGGATGATAATAACATTTATATATATGTAAAAAATGCAGATAGTTATGGATTTCGACATTGCATATATTTTATCGGATTTTGATGAGGAAGATTTTCAACAAATATTGACAATTTATATTAACTTACAAAATAATGGGTTCCTGAAAAAGAAACCTCGTTTGCAAAGAATTTCAAAGTTAATTGGTCACCAATATGTCCTAGAACTGCTTAACGGTCATCCAATGACATGTTATGATTTGCTTCGAATGACTCCTCAGATCTTTATTAGCTTGTGTGAAGAATTGAAAAAAGGGAAAAGTTGAAAGATTCCAAATTTATATCAATTCAAGAACAGGTTGCAATGTTTCTTCTTATTGTTTCTCATCATTCGAGGCACAGACTTATAGCGGATAGATTTCAACATTCCTTAGAATCTACTCACCGCCATTTTCGAAAGGTTTTGTATGCCATTGCATCATTATCAAAGCATTCAATCGTTCCTCCGGTATTTGATGAAACACCTCCAGAAATAAAAAATAACCCAAGATACTATCCAATTTTCAAGGTAATATAATTTTTTGTCATTAATTTTTAATTTATACATATTATCTATGTATTAATTCTTAAAGTATGTAGTTTGAATTTAACGATTTATTATAGAATTGCATAGGAGCTATTGATGGAACTCATGTATCAGCACGTGTGCCACAAGATGATCAAGTTCCCTATCGTGGAAAAGAAAAAAAGCCTATAATGAATGTAATGTGTGCTTGCTCATTTGACATGAAATTTACATTTGTGATGGCTGGATGGGAAGGTTCGGAAAATGATTCAAGAATTTTTTGGGAAACAATTACAAATGTAGAAGAGACCAAGTTTCTGATGCCTCCTACTAGAAAGTATTATATTGTAGACTCAGGTATGCCAGGATTTCTTTCACCGTATCGTGGAGAACGATATCATTTGCGTGATTATAGAGGAGCAAAAAGCCCACAAGGTCCTGAGGAAATATTTAATTATACACATTCACATTCTTCATTGCGAAATGTTATTGAAAGATGTTTTGGGGTATTAAAAGCTAGATTTCCCATTCTCAAAGATATGCCTTCATATGACTTGAAACGACAAAAATATATAATTTTGTCGTGCTGTGTTATCCACAATTTCATAAAAATGTGCAAGGACGGAGATCCTTTGTTCTTACAGTATGCGGATGAAAATGTCGAATTAGAAGATGATGCAATCAACAACAATGGATCCGAGGAACTAGTGACTCCTTCTGTAAGTCAACAAGAACTTCAAAGAATGGCTCAGTTTCGAGATCGTTTGGAAACACGATTGTGGGAAAGACAAAATTCATAATGAAAGTCTTCAACGAGAAATAAATATTACATTGCATTTGACTATTTTATTGTTACTTTTTTTTTCCGTAGTTGTTCCTTTAAATTTTGTTATAACCTTATTCAATCAATAAATTTATTATTGAAATATATTTATATTAATGTTTTTTTTTGTGAAAATAAATAAGCAGCTATTAAAAAATATTTTAAAAAAATTAATCATAAAAAATAATTATAGGTAGTATATATAAGAGTTGATTAAAGCTATAAATGATTTGGTAGTATTTTGAGAGTTGATTGTAAACTCAAAACTGAAAAATGAAAAAAGTTTTTAAAAACAAAGAATCAAAAACTAAAATCAGTTTTCAGTTTTGAAAAAACGAAAAACTAAAAACTGAAAACGATGCCAAA